CCATTGAATATAAATGATTATATGATTAATCAAAGGACAGGGTAATGGGATGGAAAAAAGAAATCAAGACCCATTTCTATGCTGCCTACAAAAGACTCATTTCAGACCTAAAAGTACATGAGATTAAAACTGAAGTAGTGGAGAAGCATTTATCAAGCAAATGGATGTGAAATGAAAGCCAAGATAGTAATGCTTGTGTCAGACAAGATAAATGTTAACAGAAAGACTGTAACAAGAGGCATGAAGGACACTATATAATAATAAGGGGAAAAATCCAACAAGAAGATATAACAATTGTAAATACTTATGCACCCTAAATGGGAGCACTCAGATATATAAAGCAACTAGTAACAAAGATGAAGGAGGTAATGAAAAGTAATGCAATAATAGTAGGGGACTTTAATACCCCACTTACATCAATGGACAGATCATCCAATCAGAAAACCACCAAGGAAACAGTGACCTTGAATGACATATTAAACCATATGGATAAATGATATTTCAGACCATTTCATCCTAAAATAGCAGAGTACACATTCTGACATATCTATACACTAATAGTGTTACAGCATAAAGATAAATTAAGAAAGCCACCTAATTTCAATTGCACCAAAAATCATTCAATATCTAGTAATACACCTGACCAAGGATGCAAAAGATTTATACTCTGAAATCTATAAAATATTGATGAGAAAAATTGAAGGTGGTACAAAGAAATGGAAAGATATTCCTTGCTCATGGATTGGAAGAACAAATATTGTTAACATGTCCATACTACCAAAAGCAACTACAGATTTAATGCAATGTCTATCAAAATACCAATTGTATTTTTCACACAACTAGAGCAAACAATCTTAAAATTTGTATGGAACCAAAAAGTACTCTGAATGGCAAAATAATCTTGAAAAAGAAAAACAAAGCTGGATGTATCACAATTCCAGATTTCAAGTTGTACTACAAAGCTGTAGTAATTATAACAGTATGGACCTGTCACAAACGTAGACACATAGGTCAATGGAACAGTATAGAAACCCAGAAATAAACCCACAACTTTATGGTTAATTAAACTTTGACAAATGAGGCAAGAATATACAATGGCAATAGAGATTCTCTTCAACAAACAGTGTTGGGAAAACTGGACAGCACATACAAAAGAAAGAAACTAGGTGACTTTCTCACACTATACACAAAAATAAATTCAAAGTGGATTAAGGAGCTTAATGTGAGACCTGAAATCATAAAAATCATAGAAGAGAGCACAGGCAAATATCTTATCCAATTCTGTGGATTGCCTCTTAGTTTTGTTGACTGTTTCCTTTGCTGTGCAAAGTTTTTTACCTTGATAAAGTCCCCAAAGTTCATTTTTACTTTTGTTTCCATTGCCTTTAGAAAAGTGTCTTGAAAGAAGTTTCTATAGCCAATGTTGAAGAGGTTACTTCCTATGTTCTCCTCTAGGATTTTGATGGACTCCTGTTTCACATTGAAGTCTTTCATCCATTTTGAGTTTATCTTTGTGTGTGGTGTAAGAGAATGGTCTAGCTTCATTCTTCTGCATGTTGTTGTTCAGTTTCCCCAGCACCATTGACTGAAGAGACTATCTTTTTTCCATTGGATAATCTCTCCTGCTTTGTCCAAGATTAGTTGACTAGAGAGTTTCTTGAGCTTTTTTCCATTTCTTGAAGCCATTTCTTGAGCCTTTATTCTGTTCAATCGATCTATGTGTCTGTTTTTGAGCCAGTACCATACTATCTTGATGACTACAGCTTTGTAATGTAGCTTGAAGTCAGTCATTGTGATATCCCCCATTTTGGTTTTCTTTTTGAATATTCCTCTGAAGATTTGAGGTATTTTCTGGTTTCATAAAAATTTTGGGATTGTTTATTTCAGCTCTGTGAAAAATGTCAATGGTATTTTGATAGGTATTGCACTGAAAGTGTAAATTGCTCTGGGAAGCATAGACATTTTCACATTTCAGTTAAAGGGCTGGTATCCAAGATCTATAAAGATCAATACTCAATACTCAATGCTCAAAAACAAATAATCCAGTCAGTAAATGGGCAGAAGACATGAACAGACACTTCTCCAAAGAAGACATATGAATAGCTAACAGACACATGAATAAATGTTCATCATCATCAGCCATCAAGGAAATACAAATCAAAACCACAGTGAAATATCACCTTACACCAGGTAGAATGGCAAAAATGAATAAGACAGGAAACAACAAGTGTTGGCAAGGGTGTGGAGAAAGGAGAACCCTCTTACACTGTTGGTGGGAATGCAAACTGGTATAACCAGTCTGGAAAACAGTACGGAATTTCCTCAAGATGTTAAAAATAGAGCTACACTAAGACCCAAGAATTGCACTATTAGATATTTACCCCCAAAGATAATAGATGTAGTGAAAAGAAGGAGAACATACTCCCCAATGTTCATAGCAGTGATGTCCACAGTAGCTAAATTGTGGAAGGAGCTGAGATGCTTTTCAACAGATTAATGGATAAAGAAGATGTGGTCCATATATACACAATGTAATATTATTCAGCCATCAGAAAGGATGAATTCCCACCAAATGCATCAACATGGATGGAACTGGAGGAGATTATGGTGAGTGAATTAAGTCAAGTAGAGAAAGACAATTATCATATGGTTTCACTTATATGTGGGACATAGGGAATAGCATGAAGGGACCACAGGGGAAGGGAGGGAAAACTGAACTGGAAGAAGTCAGAGAGGGAGACAAACCATGAGAAGCTCTGGACTGCAGAAACAATCTGTGTTACAGTGGGGAAGGGGGTACATGGGTGGGGTAACCAGGTGATAGGTATTAAGGTGGGCATGTGTTGCGTTGAGCACTGGGTCTTATATACAACTAATGAATTGTTGAACACTAGATCAAAAACTAATGATGTACTAAATGCTGACTAACTGAACATAATAAAAATAGTAAAAAATAAAAATAAAAAATAATATAATTTGCAAAGAGAGAGAAAAAGAGAGAGAGAGAGAGAGAGAGAGAGAGAGAAAGGGAAAGAGAGAGCACGGGCAGTAAAGTCTCTGACATCAGCCACAGCAACATTTTTCCAGATATGCCTCCAGAGGCAAGGGAAACAAAAAAACAAAACTAAACTGTTGGGAGTACATCAAATAAAATGCTCTGTACAGCAAAGGAAAGAATCAACAAAACTGAAGGACAATCACTGAATGTGAGAAGATACTTCCTAATTACATATTCAATAAAGGGTTAGTATCCAAAACATATAAACAATTTGGACAATTCAACAGCAACAAAAAACACAAATAATCCAATTTAAAAAAATGGGTAGAAGACATGAGTAGACATTTCTTTCAAGAAGACATCCAGATGGCCAACAGGAAAAAAAATGTTCAACATCTCTCATCATCAGGGAAATGCAAATCAAAACCACAATGAGATATCACCTCACACGTGTCACACTGACTAAATTCAAAAACTCACAAGAAAGAAGTGTAGAGTAAATGGAGTAAAGGGAAATCTTGTACACTGTTGGTGGAAATGGAAACTGGTACAACCATGGTGGAAAGCAGTATGGAGGTTCCTCAAAAAGTTAAAAACAGAATCATCATATGATCATCATATGATCCAGTAATTCTACTACTGGATATTACCCAAATAATGTGAAAACACTAAAATGAAAAGAAACATGCACTCCAATGTTTACTGCAGCATTATTTACATTGGTCAGTGTATAGAAACATCCCAAGTGTCTGTACATAGATGAATAAAGATCTGGTGTGTATATTCAATGGAATAAAACTCAGCCATAAAAATGACAGAAAGCTTGCAATCACAACAACATGGATGGAGCCAGAGAGTATGATGGTAAGTGAAATAAGAGGTCAGAGAAAGACAAATACCAAATGATTCCTTCATATGTGGAATTTAAGAAATGAACAAAAGTAACAGAGAAAAAAGTGACAAGGGAAAAAACAACCTCTTATCTATGGAGAACACACTACTGGTTCCCAGATGGTAGGTGGGTTGGCAGATGAAGAAATAGGTGAAGGAGATTGGGAAAACACTTAAATTGATGAGCAATGAGTAATGTATGGGATTTCTGAATCTCTACCCTATACACCTGAAAGTAATATAACATTGTATATTAACTATCCTTAAAATAAATAAACCAAACAAAGAAAAAAATCAGGACACCAAAATTTATAGTTCTTGGTTTATGTATTTTTCTTTTCTAAAGTCTCCCTGAATAAAGTGACTGCACCGTGAACACTGTATTTTCATGAGTGTAGCACGATGCTTGGATCCAGGCAGGGGCTAAGTGACTGGTGAGCGAATATATATTAATTCAAGTCAGACTGAGGGGGTTTTCCTCAGATGTTTCAGTATCACATGGTTTCTGTGATGGCTGCTGGTTTCCCCTAAAGATAATGGTGGATTGGTGGTTGCTAATACTGTTACGCATTCAATCACGAGGGGATCCAGAGAAGCAATAAAACAACAGTTAAAAAGAAAATGTTGGGCCCCAAAATGGCACCTTGGGCCATGCCAAGTCCCAAAACCTTACTTAATCTCTAACTTCCCCCTAAAATGTTTACCTGTCAGTTAGGAATTCTCTGGTCAGCACCAGGGAGGTGATCTGTCCCACGGGCCCTCTCCACCCACAAGGAGGGGAGGTCGTCTTCATTATAATACCTCCTCCTCTCCTAATTAAGGGAGGGTGACCTTCCCTGAAACACTCTTTCTCTTCTTTGCCAACTTTCTTGCTATGAAATCTTTCCATTAGCACCACTCTTCAGAGCTCCCCTCTACCTGCCAGATGGGATGCTGGCTTATTCTTGAATCGCTTAATGAAACCAATTGTATCTCCGAATTTGCTTTTGTTTTTTAACATAAGCAGTGAGAAGTCAGAGATGTGAATGAGCTGGGGTGGGAATGAGAAGGGGAAGGAAATGCATGGGTGATGTCACATGGACAGGAGGGACAGAGTGACAGCAGAGTCTAGGGCTGGGGAACTGTGTGTTTTCATGGGTTACTGTCTGAATGGGAAGAAAATGTAAGAGAGCTAGGATCAGTTTCCATGCCACACAGGACTCATTATGTAGTATCTGAATGGGGGACAGGGAGCAGAATGGAAGCTGGTGACAGGGAGAAGATGGAAGCCAGAGAGGAGCGTCAGACCAGGAGGGGAACTGAGAGTCTGAGTAGGTGTACAGGATTGAGTGAGGAGCACATTTGCATTTTAGCAGAGACTCAGGAAAGGCTTGTGTGCGGAGAAGGAAGTCAGAAGAGAGGGGCTGTGTGTGGGGTAGGTTGTTAGAAAAGAGGTCAAAGACCGACTCTGTAAGAGAAAGAAAGCATCTGCAAATACTAATGCTGTTCCTACAACTTGTGCTGTTGGTGGTTCTCCTCCCAGATGGTGACAGTGAAGATGGTGAGAGCTCTGGTCCTGCCCAGTGGGTACCCATGTGTTTGTGTGTATGTGTACATCTGTTTATGTGTGTCTGTGTGTGTTTCTGCCAGTCTGTGTGTTTCTGATGTGTGTACATGTGCTCATGTGCATTTGAATATGTGTATATGTATGTGTGTATAGGAGTCTTCTGCATCTCTTTGCATTTCTGTGTGTGTACATGTGTTGGTATGTGTCTGCATGTCTGTGTTTGTATATGTACATACATGTGTGTATATGTGTACATCTCTGTGTGTGTCTGTATGTGAGCATTTGTGTCTCTGAGTGTGTGCACTCATGGTGTGAGTTCCCCAGCACATAATAGGGGAGGGAGACTGTCAGCCTGGCTCCTCCCTGAGAATTCCTGACCCTGAGGACCTGTGCTCTTCTAAAGGCTGGGTATGAAGCTTGAGGGTCTGGGGAAGCAAATGTCTCCTGAGATAACTACGGTTTCTCTGTCCTCCAGATTTTGGTTCCCCTCCCTGGCACCTCTCTCCTTCCCAATGCTCTCCACTCCAGAGTTTATCGGTCCTTTTCCCACAGATTTCCAGGAGCCAGTCTCCTTCCGAATCATCCTGACCGCATCCTTTTACAACCCCTCCTGGACACAAAATCAAGGCTCAGCTTGGCTGGATGATTTGCAGACTCACGGATGGGACAATAAGACCGGTGCTTTCATTTACCTGCAGCCTTGGTCTAAAGGCAACTTCAGCAATGAGGAGCTGACGGAAGTAGAAAAGTTATTCTACACATACTCCATTAGATCTCCTTCAACATTTCATAACCACGTCAGCCAATGGCAGCTTGAATGTAAGTTCATCTCCCTCTGGGTTGGGTTGCACATGGCAAGTGTGTGTGTCTCATTGAGTTCCTTCTTTCTTTAGGAAATGAACTACACTGGCTTTTGAACTTCACCTCTCTCTATCTGAAAAGTGAATCACACGAATCTGGGCAGGGGTAGAGGCCAGACCCTGATTCTTGAAAAGCTTCACGTTTTCTTCAGCTTCCCACTCCTCTCATTGACCACAGGTCGTGCTCTCCATCTCTCACTAGTGTCTCCCCTGACCACCCTTTTCCCTGGCCTCCAGCCAAGCACCCTTGCTCCCTCACTTGTGACTGACTTTGAACTGTGCTTTCTCTCCATTCAATCCGAGCAGTGATGTCTATGTGTTCCCTGTACCCCACTGCACTCCCTTTGCCCTAGATTGTTTTTACCCCAGCTCTTCCACTGAGTCCTCCCCTATTCTCTTTCCACATCCTTCATGTCTCTCCTCCAACATTTGCTCCTTCCTTAGTCATTCACCATTGCCTCCACCTCCTGCGACCACCACTTCCCTTTAGTCTGAGCCTCCCCTCAAGTCAAACTTTCCTCCATTGCTCCAGTTCCCAACGTCACCTTTCCACTTCTAGCATCCTTGACTTGCATTCATCTCATTTCCTCTCCTTCACTTCCCCTACTATAATTCAGTCTCTCTTCCCCAGATCCCTTCCAGGTTCAGCTGGTGTTAGGCTGTGATTCCCACTTTGGAGAAGCATCAGTAGGCTTCATGCAGATTGCTTATCAAGGATCAGATCTCATGAGTTTCCAGAACACGTCATGGTGGCCTTCTCCAAAGGGAGGAAGTAGGGCTCAGCAGGTCTGCAGAGTATTCAATCAGTACCATGTTTTCAATGAAATAGTATACAAACTCCTCAGTGACTCCTGCCCCCGGTTCCTGTTGGGTCTTCTTGAAGCAGGGAAGGCGTATCTCCAGCGACAAGGTCAGTCCTGCTCTCTTTCTCTATGAATTCTCTACTCTGCACTCATAGTTTATAACATTCCATCAAATTCAGGGTAAGAAAGAGTCAAGAGGGAGAGGGGATGATGGTTACAGGTTTCTAGATGTGGAAAGATGTCTATATAAAGTGATGTGAAGATCTACCCTCTCAGTCTGTGATTATCTGTCCTGTGTCTGCAGTGAGGCCAGAAGCCTGGCTGTCCACTGGCCCCAGTCCGGGTCCTGGCCATCTCCTGCTGGTGTGCCATGTCTCTGGCTTCTACCCAAAGCCTGTGTCGGTGATGTGGATGCGTGGTGAGCAGGAACAACAGGGCACCCAGCGAGGTGATGTTCTGCCCCATGCTGATGGGACGTGGTATCTTCAGGTGTCTTTGGATGTGAAAGCCAGGGAGGCTGTTGGCCTGTCGTGCTTGGTGAGACACAGTAGTCTAGGAGGCCAGGACATCATCCTCTACTGGGGTGAGAAAGAGCTGGGGCTCAGCTGGGAAAGAGGGTGGGTGGTTCTCTAGCAGAGCAGGAGAACCAGATGAAAAATTGGGGTTGCTAGAAAAAAGTGACTAAAAAAAATGGCAATCCAAGAAAGGAAGAACTGGGAGTGCAGTCCTACAGATATGGGAGGATGCATCAATTTGGGTGAAGGGTCCATCTCTGAGGAGGGATGGGAGAAGTGAAAACGGGAAGGGGAGTGGGTGAGGCAGAGGGTGACCAGAGCAAGGAGGACCAGGGGGGTGCAGTTCAACCCAGGGTAGATGGGAAGTGACACCCTCTGTGCACCAAACCCACAGAGAAGCCCCATTCCATGGGCTTGGTCTTCCTGGTGGTGATAGTGTCCCTGGTGCTTCTGGCCGGTCTGACGTTGTGGCTCTGGAAGTGCTGGTAAGTCTCTGGAGCCACCTTCCGCTCTTTCCCATGTGTGTCCCACCTTTCAGTCTGTCCTCAGCCCTCCAGCTCCCAGTGCCCTTCCCCCCTGCAGTCCTCACCTCCCCCTGCTGCAGAATGACTCTTCCTCTGTTGCTCCCAGGAAAACACACTGGAGATATCCGTGCACTGACCTCCGTTCTGAACGAGATCCCAGCAGCCCAGGCTCCAGTACTTACCTAAACCCAATTCAGTGGTGAAGTCCTTACAACTCTCTGGGCGCAAGTTTGACTTTCAGTTGTGCTTAATGATCAGTTGTCAATAGAAGCTCAGTGTAATTCAGTGGGGTTTGTTGTTCTGACTTGGTTCTGGAACTTAACTCTCAAATTTAACTCAGTGTAAAATGAAGTCCCAGCACCTCCATGGGTGACAGACATCAGATGTCACTTCTTCCAGAGAGCCCTCCCTTACTCAGAAGTGGAAGCTGTCTGTGGAGTGAGAATTCCCACCACCTTTCCCTGCACTTTGACAGTTCTATTCCCCATCCCTGGTGCCTGTTTTCCCCAGTTAGGACAGTTTTCCTTCTAACTCTTAGGATCCTTGAGAGCAAAGTCTATATGTTCTTCATATTTGTATACTTGGGAAGGTGTCTCACCTGCATGGAAAATGTCCTCAATAAAAACCCGTGTTGAATTTATGCTAAATCCATAGGTTCTTCTCCTCCTCCTCCTCCTCCTCTTTCTCCTCCTCCTCTTTCTTCTTCCAGACATGCTTGTAGTTGTTGAGATGTTTGCTGCTCTTCTTGTTAAAAGTCTTGTCACCTGGCCAAGGGAGTGCACAGTTTTCCTGTTCTGGTGACATCTCCAGTCTCCTAAGTAGAAACACGTTTTCTGTGAAGATTTGTATTATTTAATTACACAAACCTATTGGATGAATCGGTTGCTCCAAGTATTCTAGATTAAACAGAAATGCACGATTTAGGCTTTTTTTTTTTTTTTTAATGTTTGCTGGACTCTGAGCAGCAGCAACAGAACTGTCACCCTGGGGCTTCTTAAAATATAAGGTCTTGGCCTCAGCTGACTTCCTGCATCACAATTTGCATTTTAGCAAAATCAGCAGGGAGATTCACAGGTGCATAAATGTGATGTCTGAGAGGTAGCCAAGTCTGTGATTCCCTGAAGGGAGAGAATCGCTCCAGGAAAGAGAACGGGGGTGTTGTGGTCAGGAATGAATGGAGATCCAGCAGAGACCACGCATACAGTGCCTCCTGGCATTCGCGGCTGCTGTTTACAGCTTCTAGGACTCTGAGTCAGAGATAGTGAGCTATTGCTCCTGGGGGAAAGGCAGGGTTCAGGTTCTGGGGGTCTTTGCTCATGATCCTTGTCACTTGTTTCATGTGTGTTTCTGTTTAAAGACAGGTTCTTGGGGTGCATGGGTGGCTCAGTCAGTTAAGCTGCTGCCTTTGGCTCTGCTATTACTCTCAAGGTCCTGGGATCGAGCTGTAGTCCAGCTTTCTGCTCAGCAGGGAGTCAGCTTCTCCCTGTCCCTCTGCCCCTCCCTCTGTTTGTGTTCTCTCTATCTCTGTCTCCTTCTCTCTCAAATAAATAAATAAAATCTTAAAAAAACTAAAGACAGCGGGGCACATGGGTGGCTCGGCCAGTTGAGCATCTGCCTTCAGCTCAGGTCATGATCCTGGAGTCCAGGGATCCAGCCCCACACTGGGCTCCCTGCTCGGCGGGAAGCCTTCTTCTCCCTCTTCCAATCCCCCTGCTTGTGTTCCCTCTCTCGCTGTGTCAAATAATAAATAAAATCTTAAAAAAAGAAAAAAAAAGTAAAGACAGCTTCTTTAATATGTATGTATTTGTAAATAATTTTTTGTATGGAGTATTTCCCCACAATAAAACACCAGCTCAGAAGTGCGTAAATTTCCCAGCTTGGGTACTGTGATCACCAGGGTCTTTGGCTTTCAGTCCCGTGGCTATGCTGCCCAAGACAGTTTTAGAAACTAACAAAAAGAAAGTCATTGTCTCATGAATCCAAGAACAGAGTTCCTTTTCCCCTTTTTCTTGGCGTCATCATGGCATCATCATAGCCTCCTAGATGTTATTTTACTATTCTCTGGTGTGGGTCCACACTGATGTCATGAATGTCCTGTTCTTTTCCCTGGATTTACTGCATTGTTTACTCATTATCAGTAAGCTCAGAGCCCACAGCTCTGCATCAGGAGTCTGAGCAAACCTTACCTACGCAGGTGTTTTGTCATGAGGCACATTACACCTTCTTGTGCTTAGGACACCAGTTCTTGTGCTTAGGACACCAGTCAACCTGAAGCTCTGGGCTTCAGGGCCATTTAAAACACTGAAGTCACCTGGAAAGACAACAGAGGTGCAGAAAATGTGGCACCAAATTGATCATGAACAGGATATGTGTTTACAGTGTCAGAATTAATACAGGAAGGCAGAAAGACACTTGGTTCAACCTTGGTCTGGAATACCTGTGGTTGACTCATGTCAGGTCAATCTACATGTCCATGAATAGTGTTAAGCACATGTGTCTGGGGCTTACAAATCAAAGTCAGCAGGTAGGCCAATCAGCATAGACAGACTCCGTGAATAATGAAGATGGACCCTCTGTGACTGATGACCCCCATCCAGTGGGAGTGGAGTCATCCATGACTAGACTTTAATTACTCTCGGTTTCATTAATTAACTGAGCAAACCATTCTCAAGCTCTGACCACGAAGCAGGGACATTCTGGGTTTCAAGTAGTGGGGAAGAAAAGGTCTTCCCTGTCTTTGTACCTTGAAAATTTTGCTTTCCTGATTTGATTATGGCGATCATTGTTGTTTCTAACCAGTTTAGTCAGCAATTTATGTGAGTTGAACTAGGGGACAGGGACTTAGGGTTTGTTTGTTTGTTCGTTTGTTTTGTTTTGTTTTGATTTTTTAGAGCTGAGAGTGGGGCCCATGGTTGGAAAATGTCCAGAGAGACCACATGCAGGGCCCAGACCTATACATTTGGCCATTTCTGGAAAATAACGTTGAGATGGGAGAGGTGGCAAAGGTGAAAATATGGGTATGGGAAGAGTAAATCATGGGTCATCTGCAATCTTCCTGCCTGGATCAGACTGCTTGGCTGTTTCTTTACCTTCCAGTCCACCTTATCATGCTTGCATGGACATCATGTGGATTTGGGTTGGTTGACTCCACCCTTGTGTGTAACCTTGGGCTCTGATCAGCCTGAGGACATCAGGAGAAAGCATCTTTGTCACTGTGACAGGTTGAAGGATGGACAGGTAACCTGCCGGTCAGGCCAGTCATCAGATAGATTCCATTTGTATCACCCAAAGTGATGGTTCAAGGCCAGGCACCTGCTCTCGGTGGCACAGGTCACACACAGCCTGATTCTTTTTTAAAAATTAATTAATCAATTTAAATTAACTGATTTGAGTTGATTAATTAATTAACTTAAATTAATTAATAAGAAATTAATTAATTTCTTTTCAGTGTACAGAATTCATTGTTTATGCACCACACCCAGTGCTCCATGTAATATGTGCCCTCCATAATACTCACCACTAGCCTCAGCCAACGTCCCACGCCCTCCCCTTCAAAACCCTCAGATTGTTTTTCAGAGTCCATAGTCTCTCATGGTTCATCTCCCCTTCAAATTTCCCTCAACTCCCTTCTCCTCTCCATCTCCCCATGTCCTCTGTGTTATTCCTTATGCTCCACAGATAAGTGAAACCATATGATAATTGACTCTCTCTGCTTGACTTATTTCACTCAGCATAATCTCTTCCAGTTCTGCCCATGTTGATACAAAAGTTGGGTATTCATCCTTTCTGATGGAGGCATAAAACTCCATAGTGTATATGGACCACATCTTCCTTATCCATTCGTCCATTGAAGGGCATCTTGATTCCTTCCAAAGTTTGGCGACCGTGGCCATTGCTGCTATAAACATTGGGGTACAGATGGCCCTTCTTTTCACTACATCTGTATCTTTGGGGTAAATACCCAGTAGTGCAATTGCAGGGTCATAGGGAAGCTCTACTTTTAATTTCTTGAGGAATCTCCACACTGTTTTCCAAACTGGCTGCACCAACTTGCATTCCCACCAACAGTATAAGAGGGTTCCCCTTTCTCCACATCCTCTCCAACACTTGTTGTTTCCTGTCTTGTTGATTTTGGCCATTCTAACTGGTGTAAGGTGGTATCTCAATGTGGTTTTGATTTGAATCTCCCTGATCACAGCCTGGTTTTTATGGAGGATGTAGGAAAAAGAAATGCTCTCTCCTGTCCTGGATGATAAGGTCAGGGTATGAAGCCTGAAATAAATACAATCCTTTTTCAGCAGCAAGAAGCAAGCCTAAGGATGAAGCCTGCAAGCAAGAAGGCAGGGAAATTGTATGAAATTTGCCAAGAGTGTAGATCCCAAGTGTTCTCACTACAAGAAAGAAAAATTAAAAAAATGAAAGAGAAGGAGAAGTTCCAGATGTGAGGTGATGACCGAGTTAACTGCCCTGGTTGTGGACATCACATCACCATGTACACATACATCAAACTTCCAGTGGCTACTTAACTTTATGTTTTTAAAAGAAAGTGACAAATGAAGTATTCCAACATGTGATGAATACTACATAAAATATTAATTTTCATGATTTGCTTCAGTAGACATTTTCTTGACCAGTTCTGCATTTTCCTTCTGAAATGCTGTGTGCCTTCACTGGAGGCACTACAGGGAAGGATGTGAGCATTCAGCTGCAGCTCCCTGCAGGCCCCAAGTGCACCAGGCTCCTGTGGGTCTTCAGGCCGTCCTCTCTGGGAAGTTGTTGGAGGACTTTCCTCAGGAGGACCTTCGTTCATGTCACGTCAGAGGTTCTGCTGCACCTGTTAGAGCCTGCGAGGGTCCACATGGCCCAGGGTGCCTCCGAACCTTCCTTCCTGGGAGGCTAGAAAGCTGCACATGGTCCATAGGTCCAGTGTTCATTTGTCATCATACTTCAGTGATGCTGAAAATAGCAACAATAACAAAACCAAAGCATCAGAAAAGTGAAGGCAGATACACAGACCCACAGAAGGAGCTGGAGCCCCAATGACTCTGGGCTCCCCAGTTCCATCAGGCAATACATTCCCCACATGATTTCAGCCCAACAGGGTGGACTTCTAGCCTTAGAGACCAAAAGCTTCCCTCTGATGGATGTGGACGTGGCCTCATGGGGACACTGGGATAATGTCTCTCTTCCTTGCAACATTCGTCCTCGCTTCCCTCTTCCCTTCCCTGGATTCTTGAAAATGTTCCTCTAGCCCTTTTCTTTGATTGCTTTTCTCTTCATGTGTCCTCATCTTGTAACACTCACCCTTTTTGCACGTTAACCCGCCATCAGAATCAATCCCTGTCCTGGGTGTTTTCAAGGATTTCTAGCAAACTTCTGGCCAGCAATTGAGATGCCTGGTCCGCTGCTGATCAGTGACTGGCAGAAATCCATCCTCCAGGGTTTTCGTCGTAAAACTGCACCAGCACATGATAAATCGGGAAGCGTCGTGGTCATGACAGTTAAACATTCAACATGCAAGACGTTTTCTAGAATTCTTCCTGACACAATATGTCCATCCATTCATTCATTCATTGATTTCATCATGTATTGAGATTTTCCTATTGTAATGGTAAACATACTCTCTGTGAGTGTTTC